TTTATTTTCCCCGTGGAAATAGGGTGGGACGAATCAATCTGAATGGTCCCAACTTGTTAACTCTCTTTTTCTCAACTAAAAAAAAAAAAAAATTCTGATTCTCCCTATCGGACGACAATTCTTGTTTTTTTTTCCATTTTTCCTTTTTCGATTCAGGTAACAAACAAACAATAATAAAAGAAATAAACGACCAACAACAAAAAATATGTCGACGTTCTTTAACTTCTTGTTTCGAAGTATATTTTGTCTATCCTTTGAAAGCACCAACCAATCTTCCTCGAACACGCACATGCATATCCACCCACCCCTTCCCTCACTCCTACTCGCTTTAACATACTGCGTCGGTAAAAGTATTCATAAAAATTCTTCCGCGGTATTCGCAACGCGCCCGTTTTTCCTTCTTTCTTTACCCCCACCATTCCTCCTGCCTAGCTCTACTTGAAAAACGCGCTCCTACTACTTTTTTTTATTTCTTTTCCTTCTACCGCCACCACCACCTATCCTCCCCGCCTTATTTTCCAACGCATCCTTGACGGCCATAAGTCAACTCCCGAAGCATCGAGCGAGAAAGAACGAAAGGATATGGGGTTGCGTCAGGGGTTGGGCAAAGGGGGAGAAATGGGTACTGGGAGAATTTAATAACCATTCGGGGGAGGAAGAGCTCTCGGGTGTAAGACATGGATGTAATCTTGGTGGGTAACTCATACGTTAAGAAGCCAAGGACACATTCCGGCGCCGCTAACAAACGCCAGGATCTTCCGTTCCCTTACCATACTAACCCCCACTACCAACCAACTCCCTCCTGCCACCATCGTACACGTCCAAAGTAGTTTGTAGGTGCTCCCAGAGGTGATACGGGGTAAGAGGAATTCGCGACATAATTCTAATTTTATTGCCGAGCCACAGGATGCAAGCAGCCTCCTACCAACCCCTATCCCTTCATTCCCCTCCTCCTCTTATTTCCTCTAGTCGGTGGTAGGATTCGCGTGCGCGCGTGCCTTTCTCCGTTCTCTACCTTCCTTCCTTCCTTCCCACCACCCCCATGACTCTCGTAGAAGGCCTCAGCTTGAAAGCCGAATTTATGAGCAATTTTTCTTATTAATTTTCATAACTTCGAACGTATGAGTGGCCCTCGTTTCAATGGAACGTTACAAGCGACTAAGCGGTTTACTTTTACGCGTTAAGGGTGGGAGTAGGGATAACTTTTAATATAATAATATCGGGAGTGAGAGAGAGAGAGAGAGACAGTTTCGAAAGGGGAATCACGTTGAATAGAACTTTGAATAAAATGTGATCTCATTTTTTTTTTTTTTTTGAATTATTATTTTATTGGTCTCGAATAATATTTTATTTATTCCTGGTAAGGGGTTGTTTTAGTTTCTTTTTCTTTTTCTTGTTTTTGGAATGATATATTATAGTTAGAGTTACGTCAGCCTAATTCTTTTTCTTTTTTTTTTTTTTTTTTTTAGTTAGAGTTACGTCAGCCTAATTCTTTTTCTTTTTTTTTTTTTTTTTTATTCGATGCAGCAATATTTTGTTGATAGAAAAATCATATACTATTTGAAATTGCACGTGTTGCATTCTAGGTAGTTTCTTTTGGTCGTCCTCAAGTCAAGGTATTGCACAACGTTGCACGCTGTCGACAAAGTCTGCGTCCTCTCATCCATCACGAACAACTAAAGGTCTGGTTCTAAGCCATAGCCTACGGGCCAGATGCCAACAGAAGAATCTTATACCGATATCAGAGTATAACGGGGTTATGATTTCTTTCCTATACCATGTCCAGTCTTTTACTCTCCTAGGAATATATATATATACATATATATGTACTAGTATTACTTACGAACACGTACATGTATCAGAAATTATAATTTGGAAAACTAAAAACTTATACCCATTTTATTACAAAATGTCCATTTATTTTTTTTTTCTTTTTTTACATATATGGTGAACTTTTTTAATAACTAGTTTGTAAAATAATTTCATGGGCCATTTAACATTTCAAACTTTTAGATTATTAATATATTATATATTTTTCTATTTCTAGAAAAGTATAATAGAATTTGTTAAAATGTGATTTTAATGTTTTTCTTTAAAAGCTTTATTCGTTAACTTAAACTAATAAAACAAAGGATGATCAATTGTTAGACGTGAAAAAAAATCCGGATATTCGCTCTGTTGTATCAACATGTACAATTTTCAGTACTTTCATTTACGATATATATATAATAAAATAGAGTTACTTCAATATCTTTTATTAAACAAATATTTAAAACAAACATGAAATAAACGAAAAATTTGGTAAACGTTCCATACAATTCCCATTTCACTTACTAATATAATTAAAAAAAAAAAAAAGAAAAAGAGAATGGGTTTAAAAGTAAAATACTTATTCCCCAGAAAATAAAAAGTATTCGTAATCATATAAAAAAGAAAATGTGTGTGAACAATGTTATTAAATAATTACATCTAATAAATCATAGAGAACAAATTCTATTCTCAAACGTTTCAAAAGAAATTCTATCATAATTTCATAATTATGAATATAATTATTAACAAAATATTTATTTTTTCTTGCATTTGTCATAAGTATAAAATCAAATAGATCTATACTAACTTAAGCACTTATTTTTTTTTTTTCTATTTTGTATACGATCATCCCACTAGTAAAGAATTTCATTCTTTTTTTTTTTCTTCTTATACCCTTTACTCTCACTTTTTGTCTTTCTATTGTATTTCATTTTATTTTTTTTTTCTATCGTTCAATCTACCATACTTTCTCTCTCTCTCTCTCTCGCTCTCTCTCTTGGACTGCTGGACACTCGGCCGGAAACTTCATTTACATCGGCAGCATCTATAAAACGGATTAATTGCAGTTTGCCGTGCAACGAATGCTGGCAGATACAGCCGACGGACGTTCGACAGATAGAATTTATCCGCGGTAGAATTCCTCCTCCTCTTTCTCGTTCTCCACCTTCCCAAACCCTCCTCCTTCTACTCCTCTTCCTCATCCTCCTCATACTCATCCTTCTTTTACATTTTCTATCTTTTTCGTTTTTTTCTCTCTCATTCTCTTTTTCTCGTCCGATAATCGAACAGCTCGCGTATGCCACACACACACACACACACACATACATTCATATATACACATGTACACATACTCATCTTCTCAATCATACCACCATCCAGCCTTTTTGATCAATTCGAGATAGAAAAAAAAAAGAAAATATAGATGGGGAAAAAAAGTATTCTCTTCTTCGGTTTTTCTAACTAACAAATTTTTTTGTTGCTCCTATATATGATGAAATTTAAATATCCATATCCGAACATCATATGTCATGTCCAATGATCAAAGTCTCGTAATCTAATATCTTCAATGGTCAGATTAAATGGTACTAGTTGAAAATAGTTGGACGTTCCGAATATATTTCTCGGTAACGTGGACGAATGAGTGAAAATAATTTAACAATTTTTTTTTATAACGAACGAACATTTTCTATTATTTATGAGTAATTAATCTTAAAGTTTGATTTGAAATTCATCCTGATAAATAATTAATGATAAAACAATAATGGTAACATTTCAATCCTATTCTAACCTCTAAGGTACTTTTTATTCGTATTTTTAAAGTCACTTTTTTTTTTTTGAGAAAGAAGAAAAATAAAAAAGAAAAAACGAGAAGAAGAAGAAGAAGAAAATAAACCGAGAACGTTTTTTAGAAAAACAACAAAAAAGAAAATGATCGTATAGGATGTTACGTATAATTTAAATCCTCAGATTTAGTTTTCTAACGAAGAAACTTTCTCGAACGAATTCGTTTGGGACTAAACCGTTTGTTCACCAGTCAGAGATTTGTGGTCGTCGAAAATACTTTTGGAAAAGCGTCATTTCCCTCCTTCGTATTTGTAGGTTTTAAAAGGGACCAAAAGGAATGAAAGGGTATAGGAATGAGAAGAAAAGTAAGAATGAGAGACGACTACTACGACTACGACTACGACGAAGGGGGATAAATAAGTCGGAGACTCGCTCGCAGGAGTCATTTAACAAATTAACAATTTTAATCCAGGATTAGAATTTCCGACATTAGCATAAGCGGCCGTCAGTGAAGCTGAAAACTAAAAAGTACCCGTGAAAGGCGAACCCGTAGCACAGCAGCAGGAGCAGCTAGGCTAAAGGGAAGAAGTAATTTCATGCGATTCCTTAGGGGGAAAAAGATATCTGCCACTCGTTAAAAAATATAAGTAGGTTGAGAAGAACGGAACAAGGAAAACGACAAATGGCCAAATTAGCTTATTGCATAAATTAAAATGCTTTGATCTATCTATCGTTTTGATCCACGTAAAAAGAATGAATACACTTGTTCAACTTTATTTTTTCTTTCTCAAAGAGATTCTACATTTTTATTTGAAATATTTGATAAAGATCTAGATGCATAAGTGTAACTAGATAATAGGAAAGTATTTAATATTTCATGTTATTATTAAATTATTCATTATTTTTCAGTTCATAAATATTTTTGATCAATCTTATCGGATTCTCCATCATTTCGTGACACTTTGAAATAATTTTAAATGAATAAAAACTTATTTTATAATTATATTATAAAAGTATGTCATCGAAATAATAATATTATTAATTGATATGAATTCTATAACGTGAACTAGGATGTCTATCGAATAATAAATATGTTAGAATGTTTAATAAAAGATGTCATAATGGTAGGTTTCTTCTTTTACCAATTATTACATGTCGATAGTTGTAGATTTCTATTTTTGTTTGTATTATTTACTGTCAGTAATTCATTCTTCAATTCATCTTATCCTACTGCTGATACTATGTACTCATAGTTGCTTTCTTTGGATGTTTCACTTCTAACTTGTGTGTTTTTTTATTAAAGATTTGTTTCATATCGATTACAGGTAGATAAATTAATAAACTAATTGGATTTCTACATAGTCACTGTTAAAAATATTTCAGTAAAAATCTTATAGGTTCTAACGAATGCAAATTTTGTATTTTTTATATATAAAATATTTTTCATTATTTTTAAATTGACAATTGATCAAAACGATTGGTAATTGTATCTATCTATCTTGATTATTGATTGATGGTTTATTCTTCGTTAGAATTTTCTTGCATTTCGATCGTAGGTAACTTACCAGCTGTAGATAAACCTTGCAAAACTCTGAGAACACTACGAAAACTATCAAAAGCTTGATTGTCCTTGTCCTCTTCCAAACGAGTTCGAGAACAAACGATAATTTTATCTTTGAGCCTTTCCAAAAGCGATTTTATCTTCTCGCAAGTTTGTTCAGCTTCATTTCTACGATTTGTTTCTTCCTCCAACGTTATTAGTTTTTTTTTAATCTCTTCTCCCAATGCCTCGTTGCAAGATTTCATATTGGCCAATCTTAATTGCAATTCTTGCAAATTCAATTCCATTTTATCATCGTCATCGCCAACATTTTCAACATTTTCCAAATTAACTTGTTCGTTTAATTTACTATCCACAAAATCATTAATCTCGTGATACGATTCTATGGTATTTTCCATAATTTTTTTGTCATTGGTTAATAATCGACGTGAGGTATTCATTCTGTTAGATTTTTTCTCACGAAACGTAGGATGATCTTTTTCGAATCTTCGATCAGATTTTCTGTTCATCGAATTACGATCGTTTGTTTCACCATTTTTTCGTCTCAACATTTTCATGATTGATCGTAAAATATCATTTGGTATATCGTTCTCTCTCAAATCAATTGTTGTTAATACATTATTCATCCTAAGAGAATCTAAAATTGTTTCAGCACCTGTTTTTGTGATACCGCAATACCTCAATCCTAATATTTTCAAATAAAAATCATCCTTCAATACATGCATCAATCGTCGAATACCATTGTCACTTAATTTATTATTTTTATTTAATAAAAGTGTGTGCAATCCGTGATTCTAAAATTATCATTTTAATGTTTATTATATTAATTTGAAAAATACAAAAATATATATTATAAAAAAGGATACCTTTCTTCCAGATTTGTCAGTATTCAAATCCTTCCAAATGTTTCGTGAAAGATTGACATTTCTCGTTTTTAAAAATAATGACAAAGATCCGACACTTCTATTGGTCAAACAACAATTACATAAATCTAAACTTTTCAAATTTGAATGATCTCTTAAAGAATTCAACAACATGTCGCAACCTATATGACATATACATTTTTTTATTATATTATTATTTGATTTCTTTACAAAAATATATTTGAAATGTGTTAAACAAACCAGTATCACCGATGTTACATCTTGGCAAAGATAAATTCTCCAATGAAATATTATTAACAAAACCATCGCATAATAGACGCAAATATTTAGGTGAAAGAGGAATTCCATCGAGAACGAGAGATTTCAATGCCTTGGATTCTTTCATGCAGATCGTTATTGAATTTAAAAAACATCGTAGTAAGAAATTCGTGTAAAGTATTGGCTGTTGTTGTTGATCCTTTGCTCTGTAACGCCTTATTAAAATAAAAGAACAATTTCATTTAAATTCAAACCTTTTAGGACAATTTTTTAAACAAATTTTTAAATGAAACAACTACAATGAACTCTATATCTTAAATTACAAAGTTAAAGTTAAAATATATTCATAGATTTATTATGCAAAATGTTCGCACATATTCAAAGTGTAAAAATTAAACAGAAACTTGGTAATTGTTTATAAATTAAAATACATAAATTTAAATAAAAATATTATACAATTGTATTATATTATTAAATAATATTTTAATATAATTAAATATATAATAATATAATATAATTAAATAATAAATAAATAAAAATTCGCGAGTTTAAAGTACAAATATTAATTAATAAATTTTGAAACATACCTATATCAGATAAATTTTGTTAATTAAAATAAAATCAAATTGATAAAGATTTTACCATAGAGTTTCGAGTTTTTCTTGATTATTAATCTTCTCACGTATTTTTCTACGTTTCGATCGACTGTAAATGAAAATTTCCACGAGGTCTCGATTCCTAGCAATGGCACCTATTATCGGTGGCCAATCATTGAGTCCAATACGATCGGCGCTAAGTCGCAAATGTTTCTCACGAAGATAAGGTTCGATAGTTGGCAGATGCTTCAAGCAACGTTCGTGGCAGAGCACCTTATCAATGAGAAAGAGAGAGAGAGAGAGAGAGAGAGAGAGAGAGAACTCGTTTGAAAAAAATGCGATAAAACAAAAGGTATAAAATAAAATAAAATAAAATAAAATAAAGAAATTAAATAGAAATAAATCGTAAATAAAATTTGTATTAACTTTAAAATGTAGATTCGAACCTTGTAAACTTGCTCGAATCGTTCGTTACGTTCGTCCTCGTTCATTTCCTTATGGTCTTGCATTTTAATAAACTTTGATAATCAATCATTTGATGACCAAATCAACTTTTCTATTTATAATCTAGCAATGTCCTCCGAAATTCGCGATTACGAAATGAAAAACCGAACGAAATGTGTATGCGTGTGTTTGTTGTATACTTTTTAAGTTATCATCGATTTATTATTAACGAGAACGTAGCTTCTAATAAATATTAATAATATTAATAATAGTATCTATCGATAATGATCTATCGATAATTATTCATGTGACATGGGAATTATTTTATTTGTTAAACATATTTTTTTTTCTAGTTTTATATCAGGAAAAATAAAATAAATGAATAAACGTGTTAGAAATATGTATATAAAAGACTGAAGTGTGTGTGAGTATATTTAAAATTGTTTATGGTAACTTTATTAAATTATTAAATGAAATTTTATTTTTAATTATAGATTAATAGATCATTATTATTTATATATATATATATATTATTTTTAAATGTGATTAAATTGATATAATAAAAAACATTAGTATAGATAATATAAAATGCAGCGGTAAGAATGTTTATGAATCTTGAATAAACAAATAGATTAGCAAAAATAAAGGAAGAGAATAACTGGGCGATAAGATCTGATAATTTACGTCACAGAAATACTAAAAACGTACCTTCTAAATAAATAATCGTTTTATACGATAGCCGTCGGCTTAAACTTAAGAGACGTTTTATTTGTCCTAAGCAAATTGTATGCAGATTCTTTCATTCCTTACACTTATTAAAAAAACAAAGTTATTTTCTTGATAATCATCCTTCGCCTATTTATCGTTTTGTTTACAAGGATATTACAAACATGATTCGATCTATTAGGTATTGTAAATCAATGGTATTATAATTCACGGAATCAAATCAATTCAAGATCAAAATCTAGTCAATTTATTTTTAACAATTTTTTTTTTCTTTATTTCAGATAAAAACAATTTATTTTTTTAATCTAATTAATTTACTAATTATATGGTAAAATTATTATTAATATTATGAATATAATAAATTAAATAAAATATATATTATTAATAAATAATAATTTACCAATTAGCAATAATAATTTACCAATTATTTCTGTACATCTCATATAAAAATTTTGAACAAAACAAAGAAAGATACACACACAACACACAACTGTTTTAAATGTTACTCAACATTATATTAAATCAAAAAAAAAAAAATAACAAAATTTCCCAATGACCATGTTATTATTATTCTTTTATGTTTCATCAATCGTTTATTTCGGAATATCAAAAAAAAAAAAAAATGTTCTGTTCTTATCAATTTTACAAAAAATAAAACGAACGTAATAAATCGTCGAATGGCCGTATCTCTTGCAATCTCTCTCTCTCTCTCTCTCTCTCTTTTTCTTTTGCGTGTTAATCTTTTTTTCTTCTTCTTCTTCTTCTTCTCGAACAAAGGTGTCCTCGAGAGATGGCAAAGTTAAATCGGTGCAGTTGAAGGCCACCATGCCGTCTACGAGTGGGGTGTACCTACACACCTTCCTTTATTAAAACTTAAAGCACAACTCAGAGTTACGCGATGCGTAATAATGCTTTTATGTGCTACTACTCTACTAGCAATACTATAAACGTCTACCTCTTTTAAACGATGACTAGTGGGTGTCGTCGTCTTTCTCATCGTCTTCAGTATGAACTTATTGTCGTCAGTATGCCACCGTCACGATCCTGTTCAGACGTTTTTTTTTTTTATACTCCTAACAACACTCGTGTATTTTTACAACATTCAATATTTTGTTTCTTTCTTATTTCATTCGATCTAAATTCTTTTTTCTTCTTAAAATCATAAAAAGAAAAAAGAAAACAGAACCAAAAAATATCTCACTGAGTGCAGTGGTGACTGCACTATACTTGTCAGATGCAATTTAAATAATTTCTTTTCTTTGATTTTAATTTAATTTATATTTGTTTATATATCTGCAGTTTACAACGTGTCATTGTTTACGTTAATATGATATGTTGTTTTATTATAAACGTAATTGCAATCGGATTTATCGTCAACGTAGTTGCAACAGACGCGTAAGATTAAATTCACGATGACGATGAAGTGAAATTCTTCGTAATTGATCGATGATTGAAAAGTGTTTTCTCTTGTTGTTGTTAATCGATGTTTACATTCTTTTTGTATTGAAAAAATAAAGACAAAAGGATGTTTGTAAAAATTACGCAGATTAGGAATAAGGAAGAAAAATCATTGTAATATGATTATGTGTGAGAATATTGATAAGTGATATTCCGACTAATATTGTGCTACGAAAAGTGTGAGTTATTATTATTCTCTTCCTGGTATATTTATTCTTTTTATTTTTTTTTATTTTTTTTTTTTATCTTAGAAAAGAAGTTAACAAAGATTAGAAAATTTATTGACTAAGTGCTTTTTACGCGTTTACCAATTATATTTTCTTATTTCCTTCCTGTCCTTCTTCCTTTTTTATTACTTAACATTCTTCGCGTTTTAATTGATTTGTATTTTTTCAGATGAAAATTTGAACAGATTCTTTTCTTTCTTTTGTTTTTGTCGTGTGTTTTTTTTTTTTGTTTTTTTTTTTTTTTTACCACATATTTGCGAACGAATCGTTGTTCAAACGCTGATAAGACTGCATACGTTTCGTCTCGATAAGACACGTTCAGAGTTTATATTCACTATAGTTGCTTATTGAAGTTCTATATTCGTTTTGTGAACGATAAGCCTTTAACAATCGTTGAAATTTTCATTGGTACTGATTTTTTTTATTTTTTTTTTTTTTTTATTTATCAGATTTTCTAACAAGAATTTTAAGTTCAATTAATTTTTTAAGTATTTTCTATCATTTCTGACGATTATAATTACGTTATATATTTTATTTAATTAATTACATTTGTTTTGTAAACTCGTGGAAATTTTCCTTATTTTTTTTTTTTTTATTTAACAAATTTTCTAAAAAAAAATTCTACGTTTGATTAACTTTCAATTTAAGATTAAATAAAAATAGAAATCATTTTAATTCGACAACCTTCGTTCCATTCCCATTCCCCATTCCTTTCCCCTCCCATCAATTTATTCGTTCGTCATTTCTTTGTTAACCCTTTCCCCTCCCACTTCGATCTTGAACAAAAAAAATCATTTCATATCAATCGAAAGGAAATAAAAAATATCATTTGGGAAAATAATAAGAAGAAAAAAATATATTCAAACTGGCGTATAATTTGCCACGGAAATGGGATGCAAGTCCAGTGCACTCAAGTGCATGGGCCTTAAATGGAATCCGGAATCACATAATCGGGACAAGTTGGACGCGAAAACTTCAACGATCGATACAGGTTGGTATTATCGATTTTTATCGAACCAATAAAAAAAAAAAAAAAAAGAAAAAGAAGAAGAACAAGAAAAAATGAAATATAAAAAGTGAAAATGAATGAAATGAACTTTAAAAAAAAAAAAAAAAAGAAAAAAAAAGATGTAAAAGTTGTATAACCTTAACCGTGATAATTCAAATTACTTTCGTTTTCCTTTTACGTCAAATTTTGTAATTAACAATTTAAAGATAATTTTGGAAGTCCGTGTTTTCTTTTTGGTTGTTTTTATTTTTAATTTTTTTATTTCTTAATCTTCAACATTGGTTACACAATAAACGATGTAATATTACTAATTTTTTATTTCACGGTAATTAATTGTTTTTTTTTTTTTTTTTTTTTTCCATAAGATTTGTTTTCTTTTTTTGTAACAAAACTACTTTCGAATAACCTTGATACCAATTTGATCTCTGCCCATTTATTTCTTTCACCTGCTTCGTAGAAAATTAGGCCATGTTATTATCGTGAAAGTTATTGTATTTTAAAAAGTGTATCGCGTAAACCTATGTTTAAAATGAAACATTTTTTTCTCTTCTCAATTTTTTTGTTGGTGCCTCACCCCTTCCTTTCTTTTTTTTTTTGATCTTGTTTTTTATTCTTTCATTTGTATAAGTATTCGTGTCTCGTCATATTGCTACTGAATAATAATTATTCGATTGCGGCAATAACAATGTTGCAACATTCATCGAAAAATTAACATAAATTATACCGAACAATTTGTCTTACCGAACTCATGAATTATTTTTCTTTTTTTTTTTTCCTTCTTCTTACCAACTTTTATTTCGATTCATGATCCACCATTTTTTGATGGACTCCCATCGACAATCTTTTTTATAGTCTGAAAACAATAAATATTTAGTCAATATAAATTTGTATAAATAATTAGTAAAGTAGTAAAAACATATAATATAATAATTATCATTAGTATAAATAATAATATATTTATATAGTATTATAATACTAGTTATGTAATAATAATATAATATATAGTAATAAATAAATTAGTTATTTATATATACTAATAATAATTATTGTAATAGTAGTATATATACTAATTATTATTATATAATATATTAAATAAGTTTAATATAATAAATAAAATTAAATATATATAATAATATATTAATAATATATTATATATATTTAATGTATTATTAATATATTTTTGTGTATATTATTATATAATTTTAAAATTAAAAATAATATTATATATAATTTTATATATTATTAATATATATATATAATTAGTATATTATAATTAGTATATATATTACTATATAAAATGTAGAGTATAAATAAGCAAAGAGTAATACAAAAAAGTAAAAGTACTGTAATTAAAAGATCCACGTGCGAGGTGATTGTTTTGTTTTATTTTTTTTGGTTTCTTTTTATTTCTTTTTATTTTTTTTTTTTTTTCTTTGAACGAAATGAAAGGGGAACTTTAGGTAACAGTAATTCTCCTTGACCTAGTCTACTCAATGACCATAGAATATATAACTCGAATTCCACGAGTAATGAGCAATTCTATGAAATAAATGTTGTAACATAACAAAAATTTCATTGTCACATTAATTTTGCTTTTATCAAACATATAATCACAAACATAGTAAATTTCCTGTCACCTCCCCTCACCTTTTTCATTTTTGATAATTAGATCTATCATCTCAATCATACAAAATAAATAAAAATCGATTTATTTCGTTGGGTGATCTAATTAAAAGATCGACACTTGAGATAAACGAAAATTCTTTAAGATAAAACCTTTTTTAATACTCTTGCACTTTGATAAAAATCGTACGATCGTAAAGTTTTGTATTCATTCAATGAATTCGAATTAACCCATTACAAGCTAATGGTTTTTTTTTGGGGGGGGGATGTATTTTCAAATTTTTTTTTTATTTTAATAACTGCAACTTCAGAATAAAATATATTTGTTAAAATCATGAGATCATACATCGTATGCTTCATAAAAATATAAAAACTTCACTTAGTATTTTATTTTAAATCAATAATAAATTAATGATATAAAATAATTTTTATATTCGAAGAAAAAAATTGTTGCAAAAATAATTCTATTTGATTAGTATGAATATCGTTGTACAATTAATTTAATTTTTTTTTGG